GATAAAAGCGTGTAACTACGCGTTTGGATCACTATTGAGATCTATAGGTTCCTTGACTTATACGATTGCTCCATTGTTTTCATATAATAGAAGTCAATATCAGACTTCTAATGTTAGGAATGACTCCAAGCTCACTAATGAACTTCCTAATCGAAACAGTCTCCTTAGCTACACTTGATGCAGCTGTATACTCAGCTTCTCATGTCGCAACTCAATCATCATTTCCAATAGCCGCTCTATAGTAGGGTTCTCATGGGAAGAACTCCCAAGTCCATTGACATCACAGTTCCTAAGAAGGACGAAACAACGTTATGTAACAAAGCAAAAAAGAGCGTTGGGAAAAAAGTTTTACCGTATTTCACTTTGGGCTAAAAAATATTAGGTTAAAATCCTATTTTGGTCCCTTATAATCTTTTTTTGTTTCAATTTAGTCCCTCATTAATTTTTGGTCTCAATTTGGTCCCATATTAATTAATTGGTTTCAATTTAGTCTTAAATTAATTAATTGGTTTCAATGTGGGACTTTCCGTCCAAATTGCTTTAACAATGTTAACTTTTGGCCACGTGGACGTCACGTAGATGCATACGTGGCATCCACGTGGATGAGAATTTTTTTGAAAACACCTTGACCCAGAACGGTCCGTTCTGAAACCGGAACGGTCCGTTCTGGGTGCACTTTTGGTGTGTTAATTTTGCATCCGGAACGGCCCGTTCCAAGTGCAAAATTAACACACCCAAAATGCACCAGAACGGTCCGTTCTAGTTTCAGAACGGGCCGTTCGGTTTTATTTTATTTTTTTATATATAAAATATTAATAATTTTATAAAATATATATTATTAATTATATTTTAATTATGTTATTATATCCAATAAAATAAATATATTAATATTTTTTTATATTTTATTTTATTATGTTTATCTTATTAATTTTTATCATTTTATTCCTTTAATCTTAAATAAGTTGCAAAAAATTATAAAGTGATATTCCTTTTATCTTATTAATTATTATATTTTTTAATAAAATTAATTAAGAATATTGGTTTAATTGCATTTTTTATCCCTCAAGTATTACAATTGTGCAGTTTTGTGATCTCCAAGATTTTAATTGCATAATTTTAGTCCTTAAAGAATTG